TTTCGTTTCCGTGCATCGACTGACTCGTCGTCATTTTTCCTTCAAAAAAAACCGCGGACTTGAGAACTATGAAAAATAATGTTCAGAGGGGTCCCACTTAAAGATAACATTTCTTTCTTTTCTCTTTTTTCTTATTCGCTCAACGCTTTTATCACATGAAGAACACACACACAAGAACATTTTATGAGCGATGGCCCTATACTTTGGCCTCGAGAAATGATAATCCCGCAATTAACATAAAGAGACAGAAAACTTTGATATTAGCGTTATGTTAGTTAATAGCGCGTTTAATACGTTGATTACCTTGTACTAAGTACCCTAGATTATGAACGATTAACACCAATTAGTTTTGCACAGTATGCAACGAGAATAGCTTAGTGCATACTTACTGTAATATATTTATGTAAATCTTTATAGAAATTGTTCTCACTTTGTTATTATTTATTGTTTTGATTTTTTTAAATCGTCATTTTTGATGATCGAGAAGAACGGAAAAAGAGAAATGGTCGTCTTCCTTTGTCCATCGAAAAACGCCTGATGTCTTAATCCCCGAGGCGTTGCATAATCCTCGAACAGCTGCTCGAACTCGCGAAAGAGGTGCCAGCTTATCTTGAGAATTCGTTCTCCCATCTGGTAAAGTCTTAACCATCATTTTTATTCATTTTTATTTTCTTCGAGAGACGATCCTTTTTCTTTTTTTTTTTTAAATATTGTTTTTTTGTCAAAATTTATATTCTCCCTTTTTGTCGATCGATGATTTACAAGATAAAATTTAAAATAAATAAGTATTAATATATTTTATTATATAAAAAGAGGCGCATAATAAGTTATCGGCGTGTGTCATTGATATTTTATTCGAAATTCTTCAAAAATAATTGATTATCGCCAAAAAATAAAGCTAAATCAAATGAGAAAAAGAGGGAGAGAAAGAAAGAAAGAAAGGAGGGAGTATCCTTCGAAAAAGGGTATTAACTTGAAAGGGAAGTCGAGGAGTCCTGCGAAGGTACTGGGCCCTCTCTCTCTCCTTTGTTTCTTTTCGGACAGTCGGAGCCAGAGGTCTTCTCGATGGCGCCTCTCTCAAGATATAAATTAATTAGATTTGTGTGGGGGGTGTGTCAGCGAAGTGCCGACACCATGTTCTTTTTCATTTTACCTTTTTCTCTTCCGTCTGTCTGTCTGTCTTTCTCACTCGCCCCCGCACATAAACAGTTCCATTCTTATTTATTGTTCTTTTTTTGTTGTTGTGTTGTTGTTATTTTCTCTTCAGACCGTCGATTCGCATAACGCGTTCAGTTTGAAACAAGTCTAGAGTTTAGGTTCGTCTCTCGCGTGCCAAAGCTCCATTTCGCTATCCACGATTTCGTTTCGTCGCTCAACGAACACAAAACCCTAACTCCAATCGAGAATATTACAAGACCAAAGATAATTTACGAAAGATCGATAAATATTCGTCTGTTACTAAAAGAAATGTGAAATCTATTCGGTGACAACTTTCTATCGTATACCTATGTATAATATTATCGACGTTTTATAATTAACTTTAGTTAATTTTTTTATTTTAAGAAGTAAGCAACGTTAGATATAATTTTATTAAAATTCGTAAAATATCTTAAAGTAATAACATCTTAAAAGAACCAGAGATCTAATAATTATATACACAAGTTTTTAATATCTTCTCTAATAATATCAAATCATTTTCCTACTGCATTCTCCTTAATTTCTTATGTTTCTTTTTTCTTTAGTTATACTTTTTCAATCATATTTTTCTAGATTGCGCGTATCATTCGTGCGCGGCCTTACGTTTCGTGATGTTTCATTTTGCTGACAATTTGAAATACCTCATTCTCTTAATAATTCTACTTATACAATCTATTTATATACATACCTTACTTATAATACGATTTCTGCAATTAATCGTAATATTATGTACATATGTGTAATATAATTAATTCGCTAGTTTTCCTTTACCCTCTCCCTCTCTTTCTACAATACCATGAGTCATGTTTTATGGTTTCTCGCATTACCGTTAATGTCAATACTATTGTCAAGTAATATCGAAAACACGCATGTGTGCACGTGTAGTAAACGTATGAAAATGTGGACTCACGTTTATACTGCCAAGAATCGTTGAAGGGCTTGCAGCCCTGCGGCCACCGCCGCTACTGAGCTCTGCGTCCAGTTTGTCGAGTGGTAGTCCGCTAATAAACTCCGATAATATATCCTGTCTCTGCACTTCTTTCAAAACTACAAACTATTTCCAATAAGCTCGAACGTTCTTACGGCGTGCGTTAAAGGCACACAAAAGAAATAGAAGAAGAAGAAGAAGAATAAAAAGAAGAAGAAAAAGACAACGAAGAAGAAGAAGGAGAAGGAGAAGGAGAAAAACTTTGAAGAAAACAATCCAAACCCGATGCAATCCATTCGCACGTTATTCGCGAAAATCCGAACAAGTTAGGAATCACGTTTATTATTTATTCATTACGATTATAAGCAAAATGAACAAATGTAACTCACTCGCGTGTTTAATTAAATTAATAATAATAATAATAACAATAATAATAATAATAATGATGATGATAATAATGATCGTACATATGAAATGTTCGAAAGAATAATAATGTCCTCCTTCCCTTTCCGAATTGTCTGGGCACTATCTCTGTTTCTCTCCCTCTCCCTCTCTCCCTCTCTCTCTCTTCGTCTATTTTTGTTTGACGTATATTCTCTCCGCGTGTTCGGTTTCGCGGTTATCCGTCGCACGCGCGAAAACGCGTGTACGCGGCTCCTTGCAGGCTCTCGCACTGAGGGAGCACGCGTAACGCGCTAAAGAGAGAGGCACGTACTCTCGCGCACCTACTCGTTATCTGCCCCACCTCTCTCTCTCTCTCTCTCTCTCTCTCTCTCTACTTTTACACCAAGAGGGTGCTCGCACTAACTCGTATGACTCGACTCGACGACGGCAATCTGCTTTCCTTCGGTTCGTACAACGTTAAACGCGAGTCTGGAATCGTTGTGGCGCCACCCCCTCGCTACCACCTCCACCTCCTCCTCCACCTCCTCCTCCTCCTCCTCCTTCTCTTCCTCTTGCTGGTTCTGGTGTTTTCCCTCCACCTCCTCCACCTCCTGTTCCTTCTCGACCATCTCTCTCTCTCTCTCTCTCTCCCTCTTTAATTTGCTCCGCGTCTCTCACCCGGGTGTCTTCTTCTTTTACTCTCCGTTTTCGTGGCTCGCGCTGCTTGCTTGCCTCTCTCTCTCTCTCTCTCTCTCTTTCTGTACTTACCCGCGCCAGCCATGAATCCTCAAGCCCGGGACCATATCGCGCCGCCCCTTTAATAGCTCTAACTCGATTCTTTCCATTCACTCTGGCACCATCTATCGGCGAGAGCGAGAAACGACTCAACCATCGACTCTGCCACATCAACTACGAGAAATATGATCTATTCTCAATCGGACTATCCCATTTATTTTATTATAATTACCATGGAACCTATATAGAAGGAGAACAATCGCCGTGTTATAAATGTGGGTACAATATTCACAATGAAAGAATGATTTCTATTGTCACTAGAGAACGCGTCTAGTCGCTTAATCTGGTTTTTAAAAACAGTAATTAAAACAATAAGATCAAAGAGACCTATTAATTTCAATTTGTTTATTTATAAAATCACACGTACTTAAATTCAGTCATTTTCAACAACACAAATTCGACGCGAACGCCTATCTCGATCGTCCTCCTTGTATATACCTTGCTTCTTTTTTTTTTTGTTTTCTTTTGGATAATACGAGTACGAGAACAAGAGAAAATAATGGGAACCGAGATGTTTTTACCAAATGATCCCTGATTTTTCGTTACGCTCGTAATTTGATTTTAGCTATATGTATGTGTGTTAGCCTCACGACACCTAACAGATCAAAATTCATTCGAGAAACTCGTAAGAATTCTGAAGGATATCTACGCTTTATCTCGTTAATCTCTTTTGAAATAAATCTCATCAAAACGTGAATAATGTTGAATGATGTGAAAGGTCGGCTCGATACTATGCGGCTTTGCTAAGCTCTCAGTCAATCGCAATACAATAGTAACCCGCTAGCCCACCTGATGTTTCTTATTTCAACTGCAAGAGTTTCTTCCTGTCAACCCTGACTGGCATATAACTTGGCTATTGTTACCATTTTTGCCCAAGCAGCAATATTCCCGTTAGTCCCTTGGCTCTCTGAACAGGTATACGTTGACATCTGGGGTACTAAGTAGTAAATCGGAATAATTTTTCCAAGAATTAGCAAGGCTAAAAGCTAGTGAAAAAAACCTTAAGAAGAGAGTCGAACATAGTGTCCTTCAAACAAATAAGATTACAATTCGAACTTTTTTACTGTAATACTTTTGTTAAAATTATACTTTATATATATATATATTCAGTTTATCTTAAGTAAAATTCTGTCTATTTTTTAATTAATATAAAATATAACTTATACATTTACTAATATTTACTGAACAATATAATTTCTATCATGATATTATCGAAAATCATTTTTCCGATAAACTTAATGAATACAACTTCATTCTTTTACGTGTTTTGAAACGATCAGTGATCCAAATACTAATCCTATTTTTTGTTTGCAGTAGTGGCACCTTGGCGAGGTCAGCATCTCAATTCAGTAAAGGTAGATGTTGAAACATCCGTGCCTTGTCATGAGTTGAATGGCGTAAAAAGTCGTCTCTATGAAAGGGGAGATCCTTATAGCTCGTTCTAGTGGCTTTTCGTCAAGAATCCAAATACTAATCGTATTTGAATAATAATTTTTCTGTAATGTTATGTACAAAAATTATTATAAAAATTCTACTTGTAACATAAATAAGGGAATTAAATTTTTTGTTATAAATTAAATTCACTTACGAGATTTATTTGTTATTATTTCAATTATATGAATATACGCTGAAAAAATCCTTCCACAATTGCAATAAAGTTTTTTTCAGTGTAATATTCAAGCATAGAGTAAGGATTTTAAACGTAAGGATTCTCGTAAAAATATTGGGTTGAATTGGTTAAACTGTTACCCGATCCCGGATTTTCCATGTTCTCCGGTTTCATGGGAACTTCTTTTACCATTAAGCCATCCGTGACTCTCTGATCACTTTCCTGTTGAATTATGTTATTTGACGAAAAATTGAAATTATTAACGGGTAATGTTGGCTGTTCGTTGTTTGAAAAATTGTTTTCCTTTTCTTTATTTTTATGAGTCTTGCCATGTTTCGCCAGATGATCGCTTCTCATAAATGCCTTCTTGCAAATATCACATATAAATTTTTTTTCACCGGTGTGCGTACGATAATGACGCTGAAGCTCGTCGCTTCTGGTAAATTTTTTTCCGCAGAACTTCCATTTACATTCGAATGGTTTGACTCCCTCGTGCGTTCTTAAATGAGCTTTAAGATGAGAAGTTTTCCCGTATGTTTTTCCACAACCTTGGTAGTGACAGCTATGCATGCGTTTTCCACCTGAACTATTATTACCCGATATACATTTAGGACAAGAACACTTTATACTTTTCCTTTCAGTATTCCTAAACGAATTCATTTGTGGATCTTGTTGTGTCGATATCGAAGACCACTTATTGTAGGAATCAATATTTTCCGAACTTACCGTAAATTCTAATCGTGGAGTATAATAAGGAATAGGTACCATCTCTGTCTGATAATTCGCGGTAAAAGAATTTATTGGGTAATCATTCATTGAACGAGATTGAACAGACCACGAAGGTAGTGTATTCAAGAACGTCGTATTAGTTGTTTCCATTAGTTCGTTCCCCATATAATCGTTACTCATCCTATTGGGAAGATAGTTGCTCGGATTGACATTATCATATAAATAAGAATTATTTTGCGCAATATTATGAAATTGTATCCATGTTGTGTTATTATCCATCGGATTTTCTTCTTGACTACTATTGTATTGATATGGCTGAGGTAGCATTATACTTGAATTTAACACTTGTCACTTTGGTAGATAGTACTATCTGAATTAAAAAAGAAAAAACCAACATTCAAAAAGAAAAATTAATTTTTTGTTCGTCGTGAAAGACAAAAGAATCGTAGGTATGAACAAAAGAAAGAGAACAGAAACATTTACGTCAAACATTTCGTTATTTTTTGAAAACTCGGGTTAACGTAAAATTGAATAATTAACGAAATATGAATTCTCTCTATCTCTTTCTAAAATCGTAAAGATCAGAAATATTTCGGTTCTCCCGTCGGAATGAATTTCATTCAAAATTTATTTCTTCAGCAACACTTAACGTTAACACAATTTCACTAACAAGTAACTGTCACCCATATCGACTTACATGAATTTTTTTTAAATGATTTAACTGTTAGAACTTTTAAAAGAGAAAAATAGAAAACACGAAGAACAATCGTCGTTGTAGAAATTTAACCTAATAAATTGGTAGTTGTCGAGTCGTCAACTAATAACTGACTAGACAACCAACTGAAGAATATCGAAGAGGAACCGGAATGTTTAGCGAGTCCTGAAAGAAAAGCACAGAGGTGGGGATAGACGAATCCTAAACGAATCCTAAGCGCCAAGAATCTTAGGACACAAACGTTCTCCCAACCATCATAAATCAACCCCGCTTTCGAGGATTGAGAACCAAGTTTATACGTCTTTTGTAATAATTCCTTGAAGAATCCCTCGTACCCCATGAATATCCAACTTTCTACAGGTCTTACTTTTCTTCTATGGATATTAACGGAAAATGTTTCCATTGACTAGGAGAGAAAAATATAATTCAACATTACACACATACCAAATGTTTCTTTATGTATTTTTTCGTAATTTAATGATCAATTTTTTCCAAGTGTCAAGTTAGTTTTATTCCAACATTAAATAAATATAAAAAATAACAATGAACTGGAAAATTTTCAAACATTAAAAATATATTTTAATATTTCAGATTGACAAACAAGAAAACAAAATTTATATCATATTTGGTAAAAATCAAACAGAAACAAATCTCAATATGTCGATACGTGATTTTCAAATCACGTGCAGGTCTATATAAAGGTTTAATATTTTTTTTACTAATATTTTATATTACCCGTAAAAAAACATATAATTTTAATTCTATTCTGTGAATATTGTTGCTTCAATATAAAGTAAAGTATTAAACAATTTCGGCCATACAATAGAGTTGAATAAACTTTTCGAAATTTTTTTTAATTTTCCTTTTTCTTTCTATTGACAACAAAAAATTTCGAAGGTACAATGCAAATCTTTTTTTTATTTCTTTTGAAAAAAGCAGAAGAAGCACGTTTATGAAAATGCACGAAACGATCAAAAAGGATAGAATCGATAGGAATACCATTTGTTAGCTTTTGTTGGCATATACCTATACAAAAATATTTTTTTTTTCATCTTCTACAAAGAAAAGATTACAATGCTTAGTTATTTTTACCGACTACGTTTCCAGCTAGCACGAAGTAACGATTTATATACTGCTCGTAAAATAATTATTGACACAATGAAATGGTGACATATTCTTCCTATCGATCTACAGAAAATTAACGAGATACTGCAAATATGAAAAATGAGAACGAAAAAGTGAGCCAGTATACGTGAGAGTGCTGACAATGAGACGAAAACCTAAAACGAAAGGTTATGCGAATAATTATTATAGTTTGACGAAACAAAAACAGGATATTAATTCAAACAAATGAATTTTATTGGTCATTACTTTAACTCGACTTTTATGATTCTCGTAGTATCGTTTTTTTTTTTAACCAATGATTCTTAGCAATTGTTAATTATCTAAAATATGCAGATATATTAGGAAACATCGAAAATATCTTGTTTACTCAGCTTGATGGCAAAGGGTAACAGGAAGTTGATATTTCTACAACAGATCTTAGGTATCCCTAGAGATTAGACTAAATTTCTGTTGAAAAATGTACTGTCTGGTCAGATTATCGATCATTGATGGAAACAAAAAGCAAGGTTGAAAATACTCTCATGGGAATAGACTCTTTTGTTTGTCGCAATTCATCGGACAAAAAGATGGGCCTGGTGCGTGACACATGTTACTCCTTTTTTCTTTTTCGTTGTTTTATTTTTCTTTCAAATGATTTCTAGGAATAGGAAAAGTCTTTTCATTCTAACATCATTAAAAGTCTTTATCTTTTTTTTTTTTTTAATTTTTTTCTCTTGAAAAATAGCTCTTTTTCAATTTTTTCTTTACCTCTTTTGATAAACTAATAATATCATCTAGATAAAAGAAACATTACTTTTTCAATAAACACAATAATGTGACATAATTCTTAATGAAAAAGTCGTGTTAGTTGTATACAGTGTTAGAATTTCTATTTTCAGAAAATTTAAGGAAATTCTTGAAAGACCCCAAAAATTCTTCGAAATATTCAAACGCGTTGGACTGAAGCTAATCGATTGCGATCATCCTCTCAGGTCAACCCTCGTCTATTTTGGCGATTGATGATTTGCGTGTTGTAATAACAAAGTGATGCACGTTCCGACGTATCGAATAGAAGAGAGATAGCAAATTTTCAAGTTTCGAGTAGGGAACATTGCAATGGGGAGGAAGGTTTGCTAGTATATATTATTGCATGGGTTCCAACAATTTTGCCTAAGAGGTGGTACAGTGAATTGTAAATTCCAAATCATATGCTAAAAATGTCCTATGTTCCTCTCATTTACCAGCAAACATATTGAGAAATGAGAAAAAAAATATTTAATTTTTTAAAAGAGAGAGAGAGAAGAAAAAAAGAAAAAGAAAGAAAGGAAAAAAGGAAAGAAAGAAGAAAGAAAGAAAGAAAGAAAGAAAGAAAGGAAGTATGTTACGGATTTAAAACGATAGAGATAGAGGAAGGGAAGAAAAGAGAAAAGAGAATATACGCGGGATTAGCTGTAACATTAATTTCTCGACCATAACAGTTTTTCGGCACTCTTTTAGATCCTGCAGAGACCGTATACGCATAAATAAGAGATATTGCCTTAGAGAAACCAATATTACCGACCAAAAAAAAGAAGTCGCTTTCCGAGAGTTAACCGTAACTCAAAGATTTTTATAGTTTACTGGAAATTTTCGTTCTAAAACGACTGGGAATATTAGCCATTATCATGTATACGAACGAAACGTTATCTTTGAAACACACCTCTTCTCACAATTAATCGACTATTCTAATCATTATTAATTACGCGGTGAGGAATTTACATGTGTATCTAAGAAATAAAATAATACAATACATTCGATGATTTCAATTTGCGTTATTAATCGATCGACTAGTAAATATTTTTTTTTATCTGATAGTAAAATTTTCATCTAATGGAATATGGGATCGAAATAATTTAATATTCAAAGTAATATTATAAAATTTGATAAGTATGCATATATTTAAACCAATATATATGCTTTTAATTAATCTGAGATACAAGTAAAGTGCGTTAGAGTATTAAAATAATTGTTAATTAATCGATGGGAATGTCTATTGTTATCGAAAAGCTAGGAATATATGATCTATGTATCGTCCTTTTCGAAGTCTCCTGTTAGACTGAGTCATTGTCCTCTAGAAAATTACTTTTATTGAAAGTTGTTTATATGACTTTCCGAACGTTGTGCATGTGTATAAAAGAAATAATGCATTTAATAAATAAAATTTAAAATTACAACGATTCGATTTTAGCATTTTTTCATTTTTATGTAATTGTTTAAATTAATGTACATTTGTTTAAACATACTTACCTAGTTATTACTTTGAAATCGAAATTATTTCATATATTAAAAGTATTTTAATAGGTATGTAATGTTTAAAAAATATACTATTGTTTAAAAATTAGTTAAGTATATTCTATGTATATTACATTTTGTTTAAGCAATTAAAAAATAATTATACTAAAGCTTACCTGTACGGAGAAGAAAGCTTCGATGATCACTTGTTTGAATATAGTGAAATTGAAACACTAATTTGGTACCTAATCGATAATGCAGATCCATTTATGCGTGATTTTTTATCATCAATACAGATTAAGCAAATTTATTCCGTTATAGATGGCATGCGATGTCACACACGATATCAATTATTTTAAGGATATTTACAGACGTTTCTTTTCTATATGATTGTGTTTTTCTGTGCGAAGTGATAAAGTTTTTAGTTTATATTGTCTTTATTCTCTTCGTTATTTTTTAAATATTAACTTGTGAACTTGAATAGAATAATAAAATTAATTATTAATTTATTTAATGTATAAATTATCATGTCAAGCTTGACTAATGTGGTTATGAAGAAAGCCGAGTTACGTACGTGTGGCGACAAGCTTGTGTGCGTGTATAAAACATTAGTAACAATTTGAATTTACAAGTTTACATGAACTTCTAATTGGTCACGTAACGTCCGAAATAATGATCAGCCAATCAGAGCTTTTCGCGTATTTTCCTTCTTTCTTTTCACGACGTCGGTGCTGGAGATCATACGAACGTTTTGTCGTCCTGTTAGTCTCAGGTAATTAAAAGATATTTTCTAATTTACACCTTCCTATTATATATCAAACGAAAGCTACAAGCAAGATTTTTATATACGTGAGTGTTTTCAAAACGAAATATTAAAAGATTCAGAAGATATCTGTGAGAATATAATCATCAGCGCATGTCAGTTTCGCGCCAAATCTAACCAATGTTACTTAATAATATTTTTTTCTCATTTCCATCTTTTTTCCATGGTATCGATACTACTACCATTTTAAATAATGCTCTAATTAATTATTTTTCATAATTACATATGTGTTCAAAAATTATATTTTGTATTAAATTCGATTTTTATCACATATACTAACATACATGCATATATGCATAAGTATAGGTAGCTCGTAACACATACACTCATATATTTGATTTTCTTTATATTGTACTAATTTATTCTTATTTTTAATTGTTTTTTTAAGTTTCCGAGCATTGGGGGAGAGTCCAG